AGTAAGCATTCAAAATTCCACTCATTTGTCTGTATTTGTGTATGGCCTGAATAGAAATAGGATATGCTGCCCAGTAAGAGGTAGAGATGCACTGTCCTCTGCTTTTAAAATGGAACAGAATTTGTAATTTGGTGACAGTGCATTTTGGATAAGGTTACATAGAATACCATGTAATCAGTTAAATTGAAAATTACATAGCCCATCACATCACCAGAAGCTAAATTATAAGATTTCCACATAACAGCAACAAATGATTCAGATGCTTTGCTATTATAGCCACAGAACACATGCAAGGTTTTCTTTCCTGCTAGTCTACTATCAGCCAAACTGCCACAAAAACATGACTGAGTATTTCTGCTGCACTGGACAGACTGAATTCATTTTGTCTGTGCAACAGGGAGCTATGGGAAGCAGGGGTTAGATCATTAGCTTAACTTATCATTCATTCTTCTGTGGTTAGTAAAGACCATACAGGCCCCCTGAACGAAGAAGCTCGCCAACAGAACAGCTGTCTCTGTCAGCTGCCCTCCAGAGGCCCCATACTGATCTCTGTACTACATCTATAAGAGCTTGCAATATCCCCAAAGAGCCTAAATTTTCAAGGAATGAATGATGTGTGGAATAAGTGTGTTCCTTCCACCTCAGTCTGCTAACTTAACAGGCAGGTTAAGCACAAAGTCACAGAGTGTAAGAATGTATTTAATATTCATAAATCCTCACTGGTGTCTCTTGTGACTGCTTTTATATTTCAGCAAAGTAAGCGCCCAGTTCTGAATGAACTATATACTATAACAGTATACATTCAGGTCAGTCTTTCAAACTGCCTACTGATACTGGACATTTTGCTTTTCCTCACTCTCAGCAACAGCAGGTGTTTCCTGATGGAAGCAGCAGTGATTTAACCCTGGATGTGACCCTTCAATCACCAATAAGACTAAATGTAAGTACAGACTAACATACTGTACACATAATGCAATCAATCAGACTAACATACTGTACACATAATGCATGAATGCAACTTCAATTATTTAGATAGATAGATAGATGGATAGATGGATGTTGCCATCAAAAGGAAATTTCACTACACAATAAGTTTACAATAGAATAAAACTATAAATTAGAAATTAGTTTTCAACAATCAAGTACAAAACTAAATCTCTTCCCGTGTAGCATCAACAGTCTTTTAAAAAAGGACAAGTTTGGAAAGAAAACAGAAAAGCAGGACCAGTAACTGTGATAGGTGAGACAGCTGAGCAGTGCCAGGTGGGAAAGTCAAATGAACAATAACATGAAAACTGATCAGGATTTCTAAGAGCATACCCAGTGTGATTCATTTATGACACAAACCGAAGGTCACAAAGGTGCCAGTGTCTGAGACGGTGGAAACACTCACAACACAGAGAGAGCAGAGCACTGATAGTGCCAGGGCTGGTTTCATGGCAGTGACAAAAGTGAATATACCCAGAATTTATGTCTGAAATCCATTGTATGCATTAAAAAAACAAACAAACAAACAGGACACATACTCATTCTTTGTCCCTCTGTGCAGGCAACTGTGGCATCCTTGCTCATCACAAACGGGCGTATAGGTGTTAATGGCCAGTGCAGCAATGTGGGAGACACCTACAATCCCTTCAACATGACATCGATGGTGAGACCACACTGTCTGTTTTCTTATCCCGATTCTGAAAGTTGAATGTTTTGGAAGAGGTGAGTGTTTTAGTACTTAAGATGCTGAATCATTGTGCTTGTTTCTTGCTGCTTGTTATTCTGGAGTTCTACGGCATGCTTAGCTTTATTCTTCAGACTTAGCAGAGCTTTTGGCTGCTGATATTTGTGTTATAATATATACAATATATTGTGATATAATATTTATTATTTCAGTTTTTCTAATATGTAAATCATTATAGCCTACATTAAAAATACAGATTCAATTATAGAGCAAACAATATTAGAAAATGCTTTAAATATTTAATATTTCAGTTTTTCTAATATGTAAATCATTATAGCCTACATTAAAAATACAGATTCAATTATAGAGCAAACAATATTAGAAAATGCTTTAACAATAAGTATAATATATCTCTTTATATTCGACATAATCATATATATAATGTAATGTGCTTTAAGTATAAGAGAAGACAGGATGATGGAGAAGACAAGACAGAAACTGCAGGTTCCATTTTTTTCACTGGAAAATATTCTCAACTAAATGTCATTCCTCACAGTTTTGTCAAAATTTGGTCAATATTTACCCATATGATGTGTAATTAAAACATTTTTACCCTTTTAGCACTATCATTAGTTCAGTGTCTGGTATAATTTGTGAAATAACTTGAACTTTTGCAAAAAGGGCTTTCTGATTTGTGATTTAGAAATTAAAAGCCTTGGTCAGAATGTTTGACACTGTTTGTGTTTTCACTGTAAATATTCCTGTTGATAATCAATGTATTAAAGACATTTGTATTTGCACCAAGAACAGCGCAGAGAAAGATGTCTATTACTAATGGGTTTCTTCTTCTTACTGCAGGAACTGGACTTTTAAATGTCAGATAACATGCATAACCAGCTACAGTTAGTGGTAAATATGAAATACACATCCTTCTTTCTCTTCCCCCTTCAGAGCTCCAGCTGCTCATTAGACAATCCTCTGAGCTGTGTGGTGGGGGAGATATCTGTAAGACAAGGCCCAGTCAGTCTGACTGAGGGTCAGATCTTCACTGACAGCATCATGCAGCTCTTTGGAGACAACACAGGTATCTCATGGACATTTTGTTTCCCAATGAAATTATGTAATCACCAAAAATTAAAAGTTAAACTGATGTGTCTTCAGTGCTAGGTCACGGTTTTTCTGGAATAGACCATGATTTTATCACTAATGTTAAATGTGACAAAGAACAGAGGTTGTTTGTTTTTCTGTTTTTAGTCGTCCACAGATCTGTACTGCTGAAGAGTGGAGACAGCATCATTGCATGTGCCGACATCCTCCCAGAATCCCCTTCAGCAGGGCAGACCTTTCCAAGTGTGACTAGCTTCAGCAGGTGAGCTTTTAGATTGTACATTTTGATATTTTACATGAACACATGAGACGGTTGAGCTGAGATTGTTTCTGTTAACTGTGGGGTCATGCACGCAACATGACGCGTCTGGCCAACAAATTAGTTAAAAAGAGTTTCAGTGTTCAGTGAGAACAGATACTGTGCTTCTTTCAAACAGGATGACAAACTGCACAAGTCTGACACCTGTAACTGGACGCTAGCTAGCATAAATAAACATTTATTAATTGATTATCCATTAACCATAATTATTCACATAAAATTACAGTGACTTGATCATTTCCTAGCAGAGAGCAAGAGGAACTCACAATACATCAACAATTAATTTTTGTTAAGTTATGACTCAATCATTAGTAATCCATTATTCAAATGTGTATTATGAAGTGTTATCAAGACTCCATTACAGTCCCCAAAGTGCACTGAACTCATATCTAGATTTGATTAGGTGAAATACACTGAAGTCACTGTCTCACCAGTTACTTGCTGTCATGTGACAACAGAGTTGCTGTTTTATTTTTTTCCAGGTATGACTTCCGTAGGAGGGTTGCAGATGTTCTGCAGATGGAAGTAGCAAGAATCACCATCCTGCCTGGCTCTCCCCTCTCTGCAGCTGATGGAAGGTGCCAACAAGTCAACTTCATGGTATCTGGTAAGGCAGAAGCCCTCAGAGCAAGGATGCTCCCCTATCAATCAAACAGTGATTTAATTTGCAATAAAAATAAATTGTATGACTTTTCTACACAAGAACAACATTTGGGATGTGGAAGTGAGTGAACATTCATTTCTCTTCCTCTGGTAATATTGATGAAAATGATATCATACAATCATAATAAAAAGTCATTGTGTGTGGTGGCACACAGTTTAAATCTTACACTCCTACATCATTTTAAATAAATGGGTTGCTTTTACTTTGGCATAATATCTGTATTATGGCTAGGATTATAATTTCTGTATTAACACATATATAGTCACCCATATGTACTGTATGATAGAATTTGAATTTATTGTTCTGTACATGAAAATCACTTCAGACGCCAGGACTTCTGTGGGCAAGCGGTGTATACAGGCTGGTTGTGTTCAGTGGGAACAATGAACAATTATGGTCTTAGAAAATTGTTCAGTAACTTGATTCTGGAGTTGAATGTCAGCGTCTCATTGTCTGCCCCATGCTCTATTCTGGGATGAAACAGAAAATATCTGTACAGAGGTTTCACATAGCATAGAACAGGACAGGCATTTATGTACCCTGGAAGGTTCCCACAGGGTGAAGAGTTTACTATTGCAGTAACTCCTCTAAAGGCCTTTTTTTTTTACTGTGATTGTGTGTATAATAGGAATACAGCAGAAAGATGTACACACAAGAGTTTTCAGGCAGCATGCAGCTGAGAGTGTGATATGATAATAATGCTTTATGTGCTTAAGAGACTAGAAAACTAAAATAACTAACAGCATCAAGCATTTTTATGGGAATTACTGACAGTGATTTATCTTAAACAAAAGTACCTGAAAAGCAATCACATACAAAATGTGACAACACTCAAACGGAAAACAAAACTTGTTTTTATAACAGAAGTAATTTGTTATTTTTGACATATTTGAAATGCACTGGTGTATGATAATCTCACTTATGGAAAAGCAAGTTCACAACAATAATTATCAAGTACAAAAGTAACATTTGTGTCTTTCCACAATGGAACCTAAAGAGGAGTATACCCCATACTTCCTTTAACCATCACCAAGCATGGCCTCCGAGGTTTGATGTGGACTGTCCTGCTTTGTTTTTCCACTATATCCTCTTTATGTCGGTCTCTGTTTAGAGGAGAGATGGGCTGCTGCTCTCTCACACACACAGTCTTACACAGTCATACACACAGTGCTTGTAATGCTAATGATTGGGGTGTGAAGATGCGGACATTTAACCATTCACTGGCAACTGCTCTGCATGCATGCACTCCCTTCCTCCTTGCATTCCTGGTACTTGATTTTAGTACTACATCCTGAGAGGTGCTCAAATTTAGCTCCAAAAATGTACCTCCAGAACGGGTGCACTGTAGTGGAAATAAACACAGAGCCCATGACAAGTGTTACTTGGTAGTTGCCTGTAATAGAAACATTCCTTTAGTTTACAATAGGTATATGCAAATAAGCAATGCAATAGTTATATGCAAATAAGCAATGCAACATTGTTTGTGTCTTAAAGGGAATGTCAGCACACAGCTTCTGGCGTCTGTCAAAACCAGTGCAAAGATGGGCATGTTCAAAGAATCTGAGTCATGCACGAGTAAGTACACTACATAATGCTACAGTTCTTTATGGGGAAAATGGGAATGTGAAATTTTTCATATATTTTAAGGAAACAACATTTAGAGACAAAGCACAACATCTATCTTATGCAAGCTGTTATATCTCATACTGGACTTGCTAAATTTGCCATGTTAAATAATCTCCCCTGGATTACTTTCAGATTTGTAAAAATTACAGTAAACACATAGTAAACCGTGCAGAACTGCAGTAAATATACGTAGCAAGTAAAATTTTCCCCATTGTTAGTAATACACTTAAACCCTGGAAAGCATAAAAGCTGTGCCATCCACTGATACTGTAAATAGTCCAATGTAAACATTAATTGCATTCCCAACACCATGTTGACACTCATATTCCATTTTAATGTGTCATTTTTTCTATGTACAATCTCTCTTGACCACTTTTTTGGGTATTTGAAATACGTTTTAATAAGATGATCTCAGAGTACAAAAATAGCACACACTGAATCATAGTCTCTTTTAATATTTCATTTCTTGCTTGAATAACCTGTGGACACCTCTCAGATTTGATGCCCTCAGGAAGTGCAGGCCTGCCCCTGGTACCAGGATGTTTTCTTCTAGGCTTCATGCTGGCTGCTACGTACCTGCTGCCATCAGCAGCTTATTTATGGCTCTGAGATTCAGCCATGCCATGCACCATCAGTGGGGATACATGGATCCTCATAGCATAAAATTGTGAAGATGTTTATGTATTGTAATCTATCCAGTGCTACAGTGGTTATCTGATTAAACATTTGGTTTATGACTGCCATGTTAGAAATGAAAGGCCAAAAACAAATCTTTTCTATAGGAGGGTGATGAACGAATATGCTGTAAGGAGGCAAAAAGAGGATTTTTTGGGGCAAGTCTGGGATGCAGTTTACAAAGAGGAAGACTTAGACAAAGCATATGAGCAATTCTTAAATATATTCATGGAAGTATATGACAGGAACTGTCCTCGTAAGCAGTATAAAAACAAAAGGAATTACAGTGGGAAACCGTGGATGAGTAAGGGATTACAGAATGCATGTAAAAAGAAGAATGCGTTATATAAGGAATTTATAAAGGACAGATCCAAGAAGGCGGAAGAAAAATATAAGTTATATAAGAACAAATTAACTGTGTTAATGAGGAGATGTAAGAAACTATATTACTCTAAAGTATTAGAGGATAATAAAAATAACATGAAAGGTACTTGGAATATATTAAATAAACTGATTAGAAACAGTACCAGCAGGAGTAACTACCCTCAATATTTTATGGATAATGAT